TTAGCATGGCATGGATCTTTCCAGTTTCCTCAGCAGCAAGTGCTGGAAACGAGCACATCTCAAACAAGACTTCGAAGAGATCCTTATGCAGGGCCAACTTCAGAAACTGCTTCCCCACAGCTTTCGGCATACTTGGCAACAGCAGATTCCCAAGGCTTTGCGTGGAGGTTCCCATCCCAAAGGGAAAGGCTCAGAGGCTCCGTGAGGGCTGGGATTGTTCAGGCCTCCCCAAACTTGCACCTTGTCATGAGCTATCCCCAAGCTGCAGCCCCAGCACCTCCCTTCCCAGTGGATGCTTGTTCTGCTTCACTAGGGAACTTCGGGAAAAACAGAGGGCAGGGAGGACGAGAGCCATAGGTGGAGTGACTGAAGTTGCTGGCAGGAAGGTTTCTGGAGGCAGAAGCCAGAGGAACAGCTGGCAGAGGCTGCGATGAGATCTGCCTTTCTCTCCAATATCCCCCTTCAGTGGGGATTGCTCTTGAAGGCACTCAGGACAACCCCAGAAGCAGGAGCTGACCTTACTCGGGGAGCAAGCTGCACCCCACCACACGTCGATGCAGGGTGCATCCCCCCCAGCTCCCGTGCTGCCTGCCGGGGTCTGTGGGTGGAATGTCTCCCCTCCGCAGGGTGAGAACCGGTAGCTGCAAGCAGCCCCCTCCCCAGGCTGACCACAGGGGCCCGGAGAAGGACTGGTACGCCATGGAGGGCAGTGCTACAATGCTCACGCTTCAGAGCGCGCTGCCTGCTCCCCTGCCGTGAGCGGGAAAGGAGCCTGAGACCTGGGGCAGCCCCGCAGAGCCTGCTCAAGGACGGCTCCAGCCCATGGCAATAAGGAGCCAACAGATGTAGTGACAACCTTTGCCCAGCCTTAGTTACAGGGCTGGCAAGGTATCAAGGGTCTAGTACCTGCCCCTACACCCCTAGAAGCTGCCAGAAATATGAATCTTTCACTCTCTAGCTATGACAGAGAAAGCCAGCCCTTGTTGAAACCCACAGCCATTTCCATCTGCTCCGCAACAGTTGAAAGTCTTAGCTGCATCTTGTTTTGGAAAAATCTCAGCACAGCTTTGGATTTAGGCTGTAATGAGTCTGAGAGCAAAACCAAAGCCTTTAAAGTCTGAGAAGCATACTTGACAATCACAGGAAAAACATCAACATGGAAGAGAAGAGTGGGGTAACACCTCTCCTGGCCAGGCAACACAGCACCCTGTCGAATGGTTCAGCCTTTAGTGAAGATGCCCAGTCCAAGGAACACGGTCAACTTCATGACAAACAGGGCTGTCTTATAAACCACTTGAATGCTAAGAAAAACCCCAATTCCCATCCAGGTACAAGCATCCAGGCTGGGGGAAAGGAGGGAGAATATGTGCAAGGTGACAGCGCAGGACAGGAGAGGCACTTGGAGGAAAACAGCCTGCGCTTGGCTGGCAAACCCTACAAGCCTTATTTATGCTCCTCTCTTGGCAAACTCTGCAGCAGAAAGGACTGGAGGATTTGGATCAGAGCTTCATTCCCTGTAACTAGATTCTTACTCATTAGCTGGCTATAAACAGAGTTTATAGTCTGCTCTCACCACTCAGTATTTTTATACAGAATATGAATTCTTACAGATGCCACAGATTCATCTGTGCATCTCAAAGCACTTGATGACAAGTTGAGTTCAGCCTCACAACACCCCACTGAGGTAGGTATGACAGTGGTCCCGATTTTGCATGGAGAGGGGAAACAAGAGAGATCCTGAAAAACAAAATGTCATACACCCCCCCACACACCCCAAAAACCCAGGGAATATTCAGGGGTCCCGATTCCTCTTGCAGTCTGCCCTCACCCCTAAGCAGGTTGCATCTCTGAAGAGACCATCTGAGAGGCCAAGTCCGCTCCATCAGACTTCATCAGGCAAAGCATTCACGCTGCTGAATGAGGGAAGAGCGTTAATGCAGGAGTTGGCTCCCGTTGGCAGACCCAGAGCGAGCACGCGCCGCTTCCGGCTGGTTCTCCACGTGTTCAAGGATTTAACACAATTAAGACATGAGTTTCCTGAGCAGATACTGTCCGACAACACCCCTTGATGGGGATGGAAAAGGAAAGGGGAAGAAAATCCTGGGAAAGTAAGAAAGTTTTGCAGAGGTGCCTGTGAGAAGGTGCTCTCATGCACACGGCACACCCAAGCCTCCGGCAAGGTGGTTCTTGTTCTGGCTTCACAGAAACGAGCCAGATCAGCCACAGGCACCAGCCTCCCCACAGGCCCAAGTGCTCCACAGTCTCCCAAGCTACTCCTGGTCTCTCCCACCTTGCTGGTTATGCACATCACAAAAGCCAGATACAGGCATCTTCAGGAGAGCCAAACGTGAGGATACTATATGCCCCCCTCCCTTCTTTTTCTTGTTTTTAAAAAAGGAATAAAACAACCTATCTTCTTCAAAACAAAACACTGTGAAGGCCACAGTAAATAACTCCACAGTCTCCCAAGCTACTCCCGGTCTCTCCCACCTTGCTGGTTATGCACATCACAAAAGCCAGATACAGGCATCTTCAGGAGAGCCAAACGTGAGGATACTATATGCCCCCCTCCCTTCTTTTTCTTGTTTTTAAAAAAGGAATAAAACAACCTATCTTCTTCAAAACAAAACACTGTGAAGGCCACAGTAAATAAAGGAGTCCCCATACAGACTACCAGCAAGCCTGACCTAGAAAGACACCCAAACACTAAGTTTAGAGAAGGGAAAACTCTACCTACTTCCCATCCTTTAAGGGACATGGGCACGATCCCATCGTGTGCCGTGCCACCTAGTTTCTTCACAACCATATCTGGCACATCACATGGAGAAGACAGGATGCAGGTGACTACCACGCACTTGTGAGAACGGTACAGGAGACTGCAGGGGTCACTTGGATGGGGAATCACCACTTCGGATCCTCGCTCACCGGGGTGCTCCCTCGATCCCAAGAGGACTATCTGCAGGTGCTGCTGGACATGCGGCTCCACTGCTGCTGAAGCTGGAAGAGGCTGGACCCCCCCACGCTGTCCCCAGCCTCCCTGCTGAAGCTGGCTAACCCCCCCCACCAGCGTGTGGTGGGCACCAGCCAGCCCACACCAGCCGTGCCGTGCAGGACTACCAGAGCCCCACTCTTAGCTCGGCCACCTTATGCTGGTGGGAGCATGGAGGCAACCCCACAAGCTGCTGGAGGAGCCCAGGGAAGGCCTGGGGAAGTCCAAAGGGAGCAGGAGGGGCTGTCACAGCCCCGCTTGGAAGACGACGCACCCTGCCAGCAAAAGGCACTGGCTTACACACCTCACTGAACTGGGGCCTCTGCGTTAAGACATCCATATGGAAGGCAGGTCAGATCCTGCCCGACAGAGATACTTGTGTGGCAGAACGAATCGAGTGTTTGCATTCACACAAGCAAACCCACCGCCACAGAGCCGGGGTGTCCGGGAGGGACCTGACTGAAGGCAGGTCACTGCCAGCCTCGGAGATGGCTCCAGAGCCACGCGATGCCCTGTGCCGGCAACCAGGCTTCAGACACCAGTCCCGGCTCACCGTTAACAGCAAACCTTTCAAACTCTGCAGATCTCAGACAACAGAAGTCACACACGAAAGCTGCACTGACGGGCAAAGGCGGCCTTACAAACCAAACAGCAATTTAAGGGCCACGCATCTCTCGCGGGAGCACACCCTGGCACTGAGCAGAAACTCCCACAGTACAGGAAGGCCAAGAAAGGCAGGCAGATTTTCCACATTCAGACATAGTTTGGCATTTCTTAGCTACAGCTGAAGGCGTACGGTGGGGAAGGACACACTGCAGTGCTTCCAGAGCGCAGCAGCTCTCCAAAGCAAGTGCACACGGCAGCGGTCAGCCCTTCCCTGGCTCCTCTCCTCAAGGAGGGAAGTGCTTTTGCCCACCCTTCCTCCAGACGCTCCTGAGGCCGGCTGGAGAGGGAGGGGTGCATTTCTGCCTGCACCCCCCTCCCCACCAAAGAGGCTGTCAGACACAGGGAGGCTCTGTGATTTATCTGAGGAGGAGCCAGCTGCTTACCTACCCCGTCCCAGCGCGAATACGCAGCCCCTGCAGGTGCCAAAGGCAGCGGCAGTAAGGCAGACCCCGAGGGGACCGCGGCCGGACGAAACACATTCAGCAAGCCGGACAGAATGGGACAGAGACGGGGAGCCCCGGGAGTGCCCGGCTGATGCAGGCAAGCAGCAGAGAGGGCAGCAGGTGAGAGGTAACAGGGAGCTGTGTCACGCAGAACAGTTTCATGAACAAGCACTGTTCAAAAGAAAAGAAACAAAACAAAACCAACAACTGGAGAGCTGCAAGATGGGCTGATCCAGCTGAAGACAGGCAACTTCAGAGGCACGGAGAGCAAAACCATAGAACTACGCTCGCACAGGTCCAGCACTGACAGGAGAGGGCAGAAGGACGGGAGGAGAAGAGTAAGTCCTCAGTCTCCAGGTTAGGCGGCTCACAGAAGCAGCCCTCTCACACCCGTCCTTCGATACCCTCTCCTCGCCGAGTGAGGGGGGACTGCAACCCCCCGGCCCCGCGCACGCGGGTTTCTGTAGCGGGGAGGCGAGCAGCGCGCTCTCACAAACAGCTACAGGTGGCAAAAGCGGAGAGGCAAAAGCGCAGGCGCGCGCACAGCGTAAGGCAGCGCTCCAACAGAAATACCGACGTTGCAACCGTGCGGAGAAAAGAGCGCGCGTGAGATTTACAGTATGCCTGGAAATGGGGGTGGGGGAACGAGAGAAAAAAAAAATCTGTTCTGTCTCCAAGGCTGAGCTAACCGAGCCAAGTCACCCTGTCGCCTCTTAAGATATTTCTTTCTAGATAAGATATCCCATCTCCCCCCCTCCCCTTTCCAAATAAAGTGCAGATGGTCAAATATTACTGGTCCATCATCTGCCAGTTTCAGTCAGCATTGGGGAAATTAAACCCGAAAGCACAATATTAAAAAAAAAAAAAAAAAAAATCCCCAAACAACCCTCCCTCCAAATCCCTTAGACTGAAGTCTCAGACTGTAAGCGGAGGACAAATTTATGAGATTTAGGGTCTATGAACTCTTCGGAGAGTTTGATGAAGGGGATTTTCTTCACATTAACAACAAGGCTGAAGTCCAAGCACTTGAGGACAAAAACAACGCCGTCTTGTAACCCGCTTGTAACCGCCTCCTCGCTGACAAGCGTCCACTGCTTGGAGAACCAGCGATCCCTGTCGTACTGGAGGGTCGGGCCTGAGTTGAGGTAACGCTCCAGGAACGCCTGCCGAGAGATGGACACGTTGTCAGCGCCAGCCCCACGTCGACGCTCTCTTCCCATCCCCAGACACAGCTCCGCGAGCACAGGCTTGCCACGCTGCGAACTGTTTCAGCTGCCACGCTTCAGGAGACATCCTCTCCCCAGTCCCTCCCAGCTCTTCACAGGCCAGGAGCAGACACAACCACCAGGAGATCCTCTTCCAATCCATCCCAGCAAGGTTTCAAAGTTATAGCCCCGACTTCTGCAGTCAGCACTGCTGTCCAGCCACAGCTCAGTAGAGCAGAGGTCATTTGTCCTCTACCATCCCCATAACCCACCCCAAAATGGCAGTCCCAGAGAGGCAGATGAGACAGCTGGCCCTGCCTTCTTCAGGCCAAGCTAAGGTGGAAAGCAGAGGTTTCCATGTCTGCAGGCTGACTGAGGCTGCAAAACTGAAAGCAGAACTGGGAACGCTGTTTGATGTCGCTTGTGTTTAAAGCCTCCTTTGCAAACTCAGCGGCAGCAGAACCCCCCCTTGCACACCTGGGCGAGGTACCAGGTGGACCCCAGTGAGAGGGTGCTAGGTCCCATCTTTTGACAGCATTTCTGCTCTTAGCGTAGTAAGTCCTGGGTAAATGCCCAGGAGTAAGTTTTCCATTTCTAACCCTCCTCTGGTATTGTGGGGTATTTTTAGAAGGGTAGGGGGAGAGTGGGAAGGGGACCGTGTGACCCGTTTCCCCCACCATTCAGTCCCTCCCCATGTCTGCAAGTCAACAGTCACAGCCAGGGCGCGAAGCAGCAAACTGACTTTTGACCAAGCGGCTCACAAATTAGAAACACTCTCAGACAGACAGGGATTTAGGTGATAATTAGAAGCAGTCCAAAATGCAGCACTGCAGAAAGGACAAAAAAAAAAAAAAACCCAATAATGGTCCTTTGCAGGCTGCCACCTGCATCGTGCTGCTACTGTGAGCCAGCTGGAGGAATTCCCTGTGACTCAAGGCCACCGTCTTGGACACTTCTCTGGGACTCCCTTTGCTGAACAAGATGGGAGCACAATCATCTCACAGGAACTTTTAGATAAAGAGAGACAGAAGATGCTGTAGAGGAAACGTTACTTCCCTTCACGACCTGATGCAGCCTACAACGCACTGATTGTATCACAGACAGCAACTATGGAAACCTCTGCTCAGCTGCCCCGACAATGCGTGCACACGCAGACGTGCCATCCCTTTCTCCTTCCTTCCTGCACCAACGTTAGAGAAAGCATTACCTTTGGTGTCATGTTATTGGTGATGCAGAAGGCCAAATGTTGCAAGATGCTCTCCATGCTGTGGTACTGCTGCTGGCGGGTGGTGCGAAGGTACTTCTGCAGAGCTCTTGCCATGGAAGGGAAGATTGCCTGGGCTGCTTCTCGGGGGTCCATCATCTCTCCTGGAGCTTTCTGCTGTTCCTCTACCTGGAGGCGTTTGATGTGAGTGAAAGCCTCCTCTACTGCAACCACAAGCCTGCAGAAGAGAAATCAGAACAGCAAGAGTCACAACAGGAGAGGTAGCAAGGGTCTGTAGTTAAGGCAGAGCCTGGGAGTCAGGATTTACAAGCTCCTATTCCCATCTCTGCCACTGCAGCAAGGGTCTGTGGTTAAGGCAGAGCCTGGGAGTCAGGATGTACAAGCTCCTATTCCCATCTCTGCCACTGACTCACTGCCTGCCATCAGACAATTTACCTAAAATCTTCTCCACTGACAGCGTGAGGGGCACACAGCAGCTTTTCTTTCCTTGCCCAAGCCATTCAGCAGCTGAGGGTCGTAAACCAGGATTAAGACTTTATAAGCCTGAGCGTCATGCTTGGTTCTGCCAACACAGCATAAACACCAGCGACACGACCCAAACAAGACACAGCTGCCCTTGCGTTTAACACACGTCTCTGAAAACAACAGTTCCAGCACACAGTACCGCAGCGTGAAGCACGAGGACGGGGAAGGGGTCAGGAAGCGGCTGGCTATAAACCAGCACGACCCGGGACACCGACTGCTCCGTGACTCTGTGCTCACAGGCTGCAGCCTGCTCCGATTTACACCAACCGGGCACGGACCTCGTGCTGCTGGACGACTGCTCTGCGCCCCTCCACTGACCAGCGCCGGGGCTCCCGCCTTCGCTCCCAGCGCTGCAGCCAGAGACACCCTCTGCGAACCATTCCTGTGTGGGCACAGGTGAGCAAACACCGAGACCGCACCACAAAAAGGCAAACAGATGCCAAACGACACTTGCAAGTTAGCCCAGTGCTAACAAGTGAGGGGCTACGCTGCAGTGAGTGAGCAAAAAGCAACGATAATGGAAGAGTCACCCAGCAGAACTCTTCTGCCCCTCCAGCGAGGACTTTTCACACCAGATTTCCACTCGAGTCACCAACTACCGTCCACACTGCCCTCACACCCGAAGCACCTTAAAGCCAGGGGAAGCTGCCTCACAACAAGCAGAGCCATAGCGTACGGCATTCAGGCTACACATGAGGAACAGCACGAGAAGCCC